CGTCGTCATCGTCATCTTCGTCGTGCATTTCCCAAGTCGGATCATTTTCATCTCCCTCAGAAAAGTTACCAACTGGAGACGCATGAGTGGCAGGAGAAGTTGGAAGACGGAGAGAATTTAAATAAACTGACATCATCGGTAAGGGAGCATTCTCGGTTGCGGCGATGTCGACATACAACTCTAGAAAATCTGTCCTTGACTGGTTGCAAAATTCTTTCATTGTCATCTCCAAGTCTTCATCGTCAAGCACTTTCAAACTAATGTATTTATCACCTTGCCACACCCTTGTTGTGATCTCAGTGATATATTGGTTGTCTGGAAGACTTAACTTCTGCCGAATTCTCTGATGCAGTTCGCCAATGGTTGTGTTGCGTTGGATACGTGTCGGCCTTTTTTCACCTTCGAAGATGACACCTCGTCGACCTTCTACCTTCCTACCATTTTAATATAACACAACACGGATAGAATCAGGATTTGAGCTCATTTTTAAATAGAATAAGAAATAAAATTCAAATACTAAATTAAAGATAAAGGAATGTTGGTGGAGAAAAGAGATATGAAGAGTGAGAGAAGAGGTGTGAATTGAATGGAGGGGGTGGGGGAATATATAGAGAGGAATATATAGAGCACACATGTGACGCCACTTTTGGGCGTCACATGTGACGCCCCATTGACGCCCAAAAGTGGCGTCACATTGTGCAGCAGATGTGTAATTTTTTACAAAACAGCATTAAATACGTAATTATTTAATTTAAATACATTATTTTAATTTTTTTGCCATGTAATTTCATTTAAACTTTCCGCGGCTACGCTAGTATTGCCACTTTTATCGAAATAGTATTAATCCTTTCTAAAATCCAAGCAGATTTTTTTATTGTGCTTTTTGTTTGTTTGCGCTGCTGTTACTTTTTTCGTTGTCCTATATAATATTAAAACTATAATGCGAATCTAATCCTTCATCAAAAAGGAAAAGTGAAAAAGGGAAAGAAGCCAACCCTTAAACCCTTTTAAGGGACACTACATTGGGGTTGTATTGATATTTTAATATGGAGTGATGTGTTCACATAAAATTTAGAGCAAGAATAAACTAACCCATTGCAGAGTTTAAAATCCATAATGACAATTTAAGTTCTCAATAGTGCAATTTTAATTTTCTGTTTGTCTACAGGTGCAAAGTATAGCAAAGCTAATAAGCTATGTTATTGGCTTATATTGTGATGCAAATTTGATAAAGGGGAGGTAAGTCATTTAGAAACTATGCAGAGAAAGTGAAATTATCTTAAATAGAATTTAGATTACCAATTTATATGCAGATTATTCTCTCTGATTTTCTTATGCATAATTTTCCCTAGGTATGCTGTAGCTCTATATTCTTTCAGACTTCATCAGTCAATGATTTCTCACATGCAGGCCTTGTTTGGAGGTATGTTTAAGTATATGTTGAGAGTTATAGCCCGTGTCCTAAAATTTAATGCTGGTCACATGGCAGGCCACATGGCACTTACCTTCCTAATATAGATTCTTTTTCCTTTTCATACCCAACCACTCCTCAATTCCATTTCTGTAATCAATCATTTAGCACTTCTGACCTACTTTTCAATCTTAAGACCTTAACCTTATCTCAAGACACTCTATTTGAAGGCCAAGAAAATTGATAAAGATTTCAAACAGATAAGTTATAACCACAAAACTCCAAATCAATCATCATTGATACTTTAATCTCTGTCCACATCATTAGCAGTCTTATTGTCTTTCAAAAATAATGAAGGCCTCAACTATCATCAATTATAAAAGCGCAACGGTGCATGTATGTAAGAAATATATTTTTTATGTTTTTCAATTGTCAAACACCACTTTGAAAGTGAAGTTTTGAAGTTCTTTCTTCTACTTTTTTTTTATTGGTCCGCAAGTTTTGAAGATCCATAGGTTTGATTTTTCCCACAGAATTTTGTAGAACACAACCCTGATCCCTGACATTAAGATAAAGCTTTAAAAAACTGGCTATCATATTTTCCCTGACAAATACATTTATTGAACCAATAGCTTCGTCGAATTCAGAACATAATCCAAAGATCATTTAGACATTATTGGTTCTATAACTGTGTATCTCTGCTATATTTAATCATGTGGGGCTTCTTATATATAGCCAATAAGTAAATCACAATAAAAAAAAAAACCAGGATCTTGTATTGGTGATGAAACTTTGAAGTCTGTACATTTTCCTTTTCTTAATTGTCAGTGGGACATCTGTCTTTATACTCACGAGTACTTCAATATTGTGGCATTCGCGAGATTTTGTTATTATATCAGCTTTTATCATTTGGCCTCAAACAGCTAGATTTCAACTTGAGTCCTCCCTATCTGAAAGCTTTTCTGATGTTGACAGCCACTCTGTCCTAGAAGGAGGGGAAATATTTTTAGTGGTGCTGACCCATGTGCTTCTTCCGTTGAGAAATATTTTTAGTGATCAGGGGAAATATTAGTTGTTTATTTTTATTGATTTGGACCACTTAAAATTTGATGCTCCCGGAGCATCACAACTCTTCTCAAAAGAAGGATATGCGAAGAATCTCAACTGACAGTACCAAATAAAAAAAAATAGAAAAAGAAAAAACAGTAACAAAAGAAAGAGGAAAAAAAAAATCTGAAAGAAAACAAACTACTTAACTTAATTATATGGTGGAGGAAAAGAGTGCATATATATATATATATATATATATATATATATATATAAATGCAAGCAGGTTCAAACTGAATGGTTCATTAGTTATTGACATATAAGGTGGAAAAATAAAAAACAAGTGCAAGACAATTGATGGATCAAAAAATATAGGGTTTAGTGTATGTCATTCAAAAGGACACAAATTGTGTCATTTTAGTGATTTACACAGAGACCGGTCGTACTCTGTGTAATTCTGAAAAATTACTTTTTTTTTTCACTTTGCACGTCAGCGATGTGACTGAGGAGAGAAAAAAAAAAAACTTTTTAGTTTTACACAAAATACGACCGGTCGTACTTTGTGTAAAACACCTAAAATGACACAAACTTGTGTCATTCAAAAGGATACTTCTTTTTCTCAAAAATATATTATTCTGTGTTGGTAATAATATTCTTTCTTCTGATTTGATAATGCAGAATGATTTGGACCAATTATAGTTGCATTAGTAAGCAGAACATCCCAACTTGGCAAGTCCTAGCTGAGATATAACGGGGGAACCCTGTCCTCATATTATCTGATTAATGTTTTAAAAGGGGCTCAATTCACTGGTCAGTCATATATATTGAAAAAATTTAAAGTGGTTCAGTCCCACTAAAAAGTTGGATGGTATTCCTCACAAGGAGAATTTTTTCCTTCTCTTTTTATCCGTTGTTTTCTTTTTCTTTTTCCCTTTTTATTCTATCGTTTGTGAAAAGAGAGAATCGAGTTTTGGGAACGCCCAAATTTCTCTCCACATATATGTGTGTGACCGTGGAATAAATATTTAGTACTACCAAAAATTCAGTGTTTTTTATCAATGAAGATATTACATGTCAGTTAAAATTCTATTTTTTGTGTCAAATTTTTTTTTTCTTCTCTGATGTGTAATGTTCTCATTGATGAGATACACTGAATCTAAGTACAGCAAAGATTTATTCGTAATTGTGAAGATCATGTAGAGTATATCGCATAATGTCTTACTAATAAAATTTAATATAAAGTATAAAAGTCATTTTTATTTTTTTCTTTCTAATATAATACATGTTGACGTGGCGCATTTCCATTAGCACGATATATCTCCGCCTGCAGCACAATAAATTTTTCGGTGATTGTGTGCCACTGTCTTGGACCAGACCATGGTGGTTCCAAAGGTTTGATGTATGACCCCACTTGTCAAGATACTGCTATCAGGTGTAAGACTAAGAAACTGTGGGCAATGACAAAAGCATAATATGTTATGACCCACCACGTGCACACTGACTGAATCCACCACCCGCCACATGAGAAGCCGCCATTTCCGAAGCAACATTGGGTTAATCTCCCTTTCTTGCTTGTGGATTGAGATTGTGTTATTATTATTTTAGATATTCCACTGCCTTTATTAATCCTATATTATGTTATAGTTTCATGACCAAGTTCGGCGCTTTATTGTTTTTCTAAACGAAAAAACATAGCCACTACACTAGGATCACGTCTAAGAGTTCATTCATTATGCATTGCATTTGAATACAATGAGAGCTTTGGATGAAGAGTAATCAGGGGATGGAGGTGGAAAAGTTGACTAGGAAATAAATTCCTTTATTTGTGAGTTTGAACATATTTGTAGAAAGAAAATTTGAGATGAATTGTTCTTTTACTCCAAAACACTTTTCCATTCCATTCCATTCCTTCACTCTCTATTTTATTTCATCCTATTCTTTCCTAAACTTTAAAACATGTCCTCTTAATTTGTTTGGACAAAGGATAACGATGGAATACAAGGACGGGGTTGGGAAGGAAACAATTCCCCTTATTTGAGAGTTTAGATATTTGTGCAGAGGGAACGGGAATGTGAGGGGAAAACCATACAAAGTTCATTGAATTTAGATTCCTTGATTAATTTTTCCCAAAAAGACGAAACTGTCGCTGTCATTATATGAAAGATAAGATACCCGAGCACAAGTTATCACCTTCACTTACGGAGTACATTTTCATTCCCTCCTCCCCTCCCTTTTCATTTCCAATCTTAGCACAAACTATGAACTATTTAGGCTTATGATTATATAATACACGAACTCCTTCTAACTTATTTTGAAATTTAACCTTTTATTAAAAAATGAAAATTGCAAAGATGAAACTCACAACTAGTTGATAATAGAAGTTCTAATACCATTATTAAATTAAGACTAAGTATGGCATAAATCCTCCTCTTTTAACAGTTTTAAGAACGTTAAGTAAAAGCACCCGAGAATATTACTTAACTTTATACATTACCTGGCTCAATAAACCTACCCTACACTAGAAGTAAGAAAAAAATGGGCTGTTGTCTACTCTAGGTAACTGCCAATTGCAATAACTATAAAAAACACGGCAGAGAAGCCTAAACCCCAGTTTCCATTGACAAATGACGATCATTGGCTTATTGATACAAAGCCAGTTCTTACAAAGAAGTAAAAAGCTACAGTATTCCCTACCAAAAAAAACAAAAAGAAAAAAGATACAAAACTAAAAAAAAAGGAGAAAGTAAGCGGCAAAGGAACCCCGTGAATGATAGTTCTGACGGGACCGATACATTGTCGTTGATGGCTAGCACTGTCTTGAATCACGCGGAGCCTATTAAGTAGCACTGTCTACAGGTCCTTAAAATGGTACCTTTTCCTCAGAATCAGTCAGTTTTGGTTCCAAGTTAACTTTGATGTCGCGATATTAACACCTGATAATCAAAAAGGTTTAAAACAGGGCCATGGTAACAACTTTAGCATCGTACTATACACAAACTTCTGTCCATCTGCATGTGTGTGTAAGTGATGTCTGCTGAATTTGCAAGCATTGAGAGCAAAACTTGGGTACAGCTTGGCAAAGACAGACAACCCCAGGGAAGCTCAGTTCCAAAAAACAAGAATCAATTAGACTTTATCACAACATCGGAATTTTCCTTCAGATTCGCATCAGGATTGTCCCCAGGGAGCAGGCCAAGAAGAGGCAGAGGCAATAATGAGCTAAGATTGCAAAGGATTATCAAAGCTGCTAAGTTATCAAATTTGTCCTTGGTAATTCCAAATAGTTGTGTCAGGCCTGCACCAAACAATCCCCCAAGAACGCTCCCTCCGTTAGATACGGACATGAGAGTTGCAAAAAGAGTTGCCTCCATTCCCTCAGGACATAATCTTGCTGCTAGCACAAGAACGGGCATGAAAGAGGCCTGAAATGCACTAGTAATCAGATGCAAGACAAATTTTGCAAAAAAAAAATAACATAGTAGTTGAATAGTAGAATCAAAGTACAAGGAGGTTATTCACGTGGTGCATCCTGATATTTGCTTATTTCATGGCGTGCACTAGCATTAATTATGTCCTAAATCATAAAAAGGATCAGTATTGACTTAAATTTACTTTAAATTTATTTCTCCTTTAAATTTACTTTTCCCTAAGAAAGAGGTAAACCCTCAAAAAACTGGCTGAAGGATTCCTTTTTATCACATAAAAAAAAAAGTAAAAAATATATTTCAGGATGGAATGCCCGAAAAATCCATGGAAACAATGTATCCCTACAAACAAGCAGTATACTTAAAGGTCCCATTTTTGTGGGTGGTTTGTAAACATTACAACTACGAATGTTCAATTTAAGTGTTTAATACACATATATGAATTTAATTCTGTTAAATCCCTCACAAGCTACTTTTAAAAGACTGCCGGTGGCCTGGTGCTTTTTGAAATGCCCTTTAACTGCTTTAAGAAAAAAAACTACTGCTTTTTTTATGACATAGAAAATACCTTACGATTTTGTAAGTGTTCAAAGTTACAATACTGAAATTTTCTCTATGGTTTTGTAGTAACTTCTAACATTAGCATAGAAAAGCAGCTTCAAAAAGTACCAACAACACCAAATTTAGACTGACTATTTAACATTGCCGTGAGGAAATATTAGACTTTAACCACAGTGACAGAAACATGAGTGGATTTTTAGCTCAAATAGAGAAAGATAAATGAAATACATAAAACCTCTTTTTTTTTTGTGAACACAAGAAACCTGATTAATAACAACTATATCAGAGGTGGTATGTTTTCCAGAGCCAGTAGTATATAACTAACGAGTGAAAGAAGCTAACGATAACCTGGCTCAAAACTGTGAGAATTAATGAATCACCAATTGCAAACCACTCATCACTTATGCCAAACTTCCGGTTTAGTCCAGTAACCAGCACAACCTGACAAAAGAGGTAAAAACAACAAAGATATTTAGAACAGTGTGCTCAAATTAAAAACATATAAACTTACTTCAAGCATACAACTAACCTGAGTCATCCCAAGAGCTGAACCTAAAATGGTGGTTGCAAGAAATATTTTCCGCAAAGGTACATTCTTCAGAAATCCATTATAAATTCCAACACCAAGCAGAGATGCAATTGAAGTAACAAGCTTGACACGTCCTAAAAACTCCGGAGTAAAACCAAGAGAATTTGTACTGAAATGGATAAAAGTATTTAAGATTGAAGTAAATGCTTTGTGCTGATAAGAGAATCCCAAGAGGACATGAAACTCATTGCAGATAGTAAACGATAATCATCATATTCACAGAATGGACATACTTAAAGTAGAACATAGCAGAGTCAGAATGTGGAGTTGCTTGCCACAAGAAAATAAACAAAGTGGGAAGAAAAACATTGGGCTGTCGAACAGAACCCCACAGCTGAATAATGTTTTGTTTTGAACTTTCCAAAAACTCAGGCCTGGCAAAAGGAAGATTCTGCCCTCTTGCTGTACCAAGCATAGGTTGTTCTTTTACAAGAACAGCAACTGCAGATGTTATCAGTGGAAGCAATGCTGTGACACCAAAAACAAACCTGGAACAGTAAACACTTATTAGAAAAACATTGAAAAAAACTCTGCTATAAGTAATCGGAAGTTTCTTAACTTACAAATTTACTTCAGTACCTTACTCCATATTTATCCAGCAAAGACCCACTGAAGTAGGAGCTCACAATTCCACCAAAAGCTGAAGAACCCCAACATAAAGACTGAAGAGATCCTGAGGTGCTTTGTGACTCACCACGTGCCCTCTCCACAACCATTGAATCTACTACCTAAAACACGGCTCAGTGTCTGTCATAGTTCACTGAACAATTTCAATCTATAGAAGATGATAAAACACTAAAGCCATAATATCAGAGACAGATTAAAATGCTTCTTAAAGCAACATCAATGTCAACAACATTTTTATCCCAAATTAGATGAGGTCGGTGGTCAATGAATCCAAATTAAAAGATTGAAGGAAAGGAAGGGAAAATAAATAAATAAATAAATTTTAATTTTAAATATATATTTTTTTTTTATAATGAAAAAAAAAATTGAAGTGAAAAAAAAGATAGATAAGAGAGGAAAATAAATTAAAGGAAAGAAAATAAAATAAATAGAAAAAAAATAGATCAATAAAAGGGAAAGATAAATTAAAAGAGGAAAATAAATAAATAGATAGATGAAGGGAAATATAGGGAAAAAGGACTATACAGGGAACGTTTGGAACATAGGAAAAAAAATGGGTTTACCCCTCTGTAATGCTAATAGCTTGCTTTCCTTCAATCCATCCTAAGACAAATAATTCATCAATCTAATTCTCACTCTATTAAGTCTTGTTTTACTATTTTCCCCCAAGTAATTTTTGTCTGACTTCTTCATCTCTTCGTATTAAGTTATTGGTAATAATTTTTTGTTCTCGTGGGGGCATCAAGAGGTCTTCGCATTATATGCCCAAACCATCTCATCTATGTTCTCTCATCTTTTCAGCCACCGATGCTACTCTTACCTTTCGTCAAATATCTTCATTTCTTATCTTATCAATCCTTGTATGACCACACATCCACCTTAACATCCTCATTTATGCTACTTTTATTTTATGCTAATGTTGCATATATTGTTAGAAAATAGTATAAACCATTAAAAAGGCCCTCACCTAAAAGCTTAAGCTTTTGGGTTGAATTGGTTCTTTTTATGGTATCAGAGTATCGGTATCACGAGTTTGATCCTCACCGCCCCCCATTTTAATTAATAATTAATTAAGTCCTGTGAAGTTTCTTAGCACAGGTAGGTGGGTCTGTGCATTGTCCACCCTTCAAGCACTATGGGCTCTCGTGTGAAGGGGCATGTTAGAAATAGTATAAACCATTAAAAAGGCCCTCACCCAATAGCTTATGCTCTTGAGTTGAATTGGTTCTCTATATGTATGCTAATCAACATTCAGCTTCGTATAACATTACATGCCTTACTAATGTTATATAAAACTTTCCTTTTATCCTCATAGGAATTTATCACACAAAAACCTCGGTGCACTGCATCATATCATTCAACCTGCTTTGATTCTATGGCTTATATCCCCATCAATCTCTCCACCTTTTTGCAAAATAGATACCAAAAATCAAAAAACATCTTTGTTGAGTACCTCATGTCCAAACAATTGCATGGAATCTTGACCTCAATCTCTTATCGAAGCAAACTCACACTTCAAATACTCAATCTTACTCTAACTTAGTATCACTCCTTTAGACTTCAATGTACTTCTCCACAATTCTAGTTTTTTTATTAACACCAACTTTTGTCTAATCAATAAGCACAATATCATATGCAAATAGTATACACCATGGCACTTCATTTTGGATATCTTTTGTTATTTCGTCCATTACTAGAGCAAAAAGATAAAGACTCAAAGCAAAACTTTGGTATACACCTAACGTGATAGGAAAATAACTTAATGTTTCATTACAAGCTTTCACGCATGTAGTAACACCATCGTACGTATTTTTTATTGCCTTTACATATTTTGATAGTATTTTTTTAGAACCATATCATACGCCTTCTAAAAGCATGAAAGAAGAAATTGAAATCCTATGAAATGTGAGATTCTATTTGTGCCAGAAGCAGAGTGATGGTAGCGCCACAAAGGTACTTCAAATGTACAACAATACATATATTCACATCAAATTAAGAATGGACCAAGAATTCATTCATAAATTTAGGAATCCTTCTGTAATTTTCTTTCCCTTAAAGGAAAAGTATTTATTAGAGATGGCAAAACGGGCTCGGCTCGGCGGGCCAACCCGCCCCACTAGCTAAACGGGGCGGGGCGGGCTCAATTTTTCAACCCATCTCAAAAGCGGGGCGGGGCGGGACGGGCTCATTTTTTGGCGAGTTGATGGCGGGCATAGGCGGGCCGAGGCGGGTCAGTGTAAAATAGGCTCGGACTGGCGGACCAACCCGCCAAACGAGGCGAGGCGGGCTGACCTTTTCAACCCACTTTCAAAAGTGGAGCGGGGCGGGCTGACTCATTTTTTGGCGGGTTGATGGCGGGGCGGGGCGGGCCGCCCACTTTGCCATCCCTAGTATTTATAGGGGGAAAATATAGAATAACCATTACTGAAAATGCCAACAAACAGATAATGTGCTGTACAAGTCAATTCACTTGTCAGAAGCAGACTCGGTAGAATTCATCTGGGCATAATCATTCAAGATACAGCATCTCAAGCAATTTATACACATTTTTTGTGAAAGAATTTATACACGCTTTGAAGTCTATATCCTGGTTGATATTCAGCATCCACTTTTTCAAGTCAAAGTCAAGCTTTACAATGTATAACAATATTGCAGTAAATCAGTAGGAAACAAGAAAGCATAGTCAATTGGGTTTTTCCTTACTAATAGCGGAAAATCCTTGAGAGATCCATTTAGCATGCAGGCTGTTGCTGGGATATATGAAATTTATAATTGTTAATTTTTCCAGTACTTGTTTCGGATTAATTTAGTCCAAAAGGCCATGCTATAACTACCTTAATCCCTAGTCACATTAAAAAAGTCCATTACTTAGTGCTATATTCATACCTTAATACTTACCTGATGTGTTGTAGAAAGAGTATAATTATTTGAAGTATAGCACATTGCAAAATCGCCGGCCCCAACTAGTTTGGGGAAAATGTGTTGTTGATGTTGATGTTAATAGCACATTACGAAATAACCAAATTATATAAAACATAAAATGATGCTAAAAAGTAGAAAAAAATGATTGCATGCATGCATACATAAAATCTACAGAAATATATCTATTATTAATAAAGAGAACAAAGAAATTTTTTCCATATTTGTACAAAAAGTCCCAAAATAGTCATTATCTCATTCAAAAGAAAATGATAGACCAGAAAAAAAAAATTAGAATATAAAAGTTAAAAAAAAAAAATTCAAGGACATATATTATTATTTCTGAAAATGTTTAACTCCAATTTCCTTCTCCACTTTCCTTATTTTATTCCACCTTGAAAGATTTTTTCGTGGATAGTACTTAAAACGTTCCACATCAACATCAACAACACCTTTATCCCAAATTAATTGGGATCGGTGGTAGATGAACCCAAATGAAAGATACAAAAAGGTTGAAAAAAGAAACATAAAAGTAAAAATAAAAATAAATAAATAGAATAGTAATAATATATATATATATATAAATATAAAAGTAAAAGTAAAAGTAAAAAAGAAAGGAAAAAGAAGAAGAGGGGAAACGAAGGGGAAAAGGACTAAAAAGGAACCATCTGGAACATAGGAATAACAACGGGTCTAACCCTCCACCCTTCATAGTACTTAAAACGTTATCCTTTTAAAATCCTGATCAATAATAAAATTTTAAGAGTTAAGTTGGCTTGTTAAGTCATATAAAGCAATACCATTTCACTCAACAATTTTCATGCTGTTTGCTTCCACTCCAAACTCCATTACCATGTTATACACTTATACCTATTGATTCTCAGTCTCAAGGTCACATTCTCGTTTCTCCCATCATCTCAGATTTATATTAGAAAGCCTTTATAACAAAGTTCATACTGATTTTTTCCCCTTAGGTTAAAAAACCAAAACAGCTGCCTAAGACATGATGTCAATGTTCACTCGATCCGCATTAGCTATTTTTTTTAATTAATTAAGTGATTACGAGAGAGTAAATGCAGCAGTTCAAGGCATTGATTTTGTTTTGTTTTTTCTTAATTTTTAAATCATTTTTAATATATTTCGTTCAATATTGAGTAATCGGTGACTTGGGGAGTCCGAACCAGGATAGAAGTCTACAAAGAAATTAAGGTTCCTTTGACAGTTAATGTTGAATCAGAGTGACTTGGGTGGTTTGGGGAGAGTTATGGAAAGAGATTTCCAGGTGAAATTTCTACTTTGTGGTTCTTTGTTCTCTTATCTTAGATTCACTGGATAATTTAAACGCAAATTTGAGTTGGTGGGATTAACTCATGAATGGAGATCTGGTAACTGAATTTTGAACACAGGAATTTTTAACTCATCCAGTATTTTGACATAAATTGATGAAAAAACACTGATGATAAACAAAACATCGAGCAAAAAGGCATATTTTATCAGTCATTTCCACACATAGAACAATCAGTAACTTCTATTTAAAAGGAAAAAAATCTAAAAAAATCTCATTCATGACTGTTGTGTGCCCTAAGATATCTACTGGTACATAAACATACCAACAAGTATAAAAAACACAGAAGATAGGAAGTACACCTACTTAGTTAAAGAATAATGCTAACCCCACACACACACACATCGTCATTTCACATCTAGATAATTTTCGCCATTTGATCACAAATTGTCCCACTTCATCTTCTGCAAGCCCACACTCTAATTCAGTGACCTCACGCAGATGTGAGGTGGTGTGCTTGGCGTTGATGACCACCAAGCATTGTTCATAATTAAATGATTCCAGAAAACAAGCATATGTAAATTACTAAGTAGGAGACACTCACAACATCCGAGAAGGCAACAGAAAGAGATCCAAGAAGTATGCAAAAACCAGCACTATATTTGCTGTCAACAAAAGTAGCCAACAAACTCCATGAGAGTGCACCAAGCAGCCCTGATAGAACTAGGTATGACCTTCTTCGATAACCAAAAAGGGGGACAGAATCACTGCATGCCATATTAATAACCTCAATAATGCAACTTTAGTCCACAGGAAAGATAAACGATGGGAAAATAATGAACCTCCCACTTGGGAAAAGTGATGCAGTTTAGACTAACCTAATAAACCCGTATAGAGGTTTGACAAGCCACGGTAATGCAGAAAAACCAGAAATCAAAGCTGCCTAGTCAATATATGTAACGTGTCAGTCCATCAAAGTGTATAATTGGTTCAATCCAAAAACAAAAAGGAAGCAGAATTTCAAGAAATGCGATCACTTTTTTGGTTTCTACATTTGACCCAAGCAAAAGCTCACGCTTAATTGGTTGCGCCTTGGATTAGGTAAATGAGCAAAAGTAATAAAATTCAAATGAAAATAATCAAAAGGTGTGAATTACATATGAAATCATGACTGTTAAGAGGACATACCTCAGCAGGGTCCAGATGTAAATCATCTTTTAAGTAAAAACTGACAGCCAACCTTGCAAGTCCTAAAACACCTTGAACAAAATATACCATTGCAACAGCAACATTATCTGGGGACAACTCTACCCCGTACAATGTGATAGTGCTAATACGATATCTACTCTTTCTAGGAGCAGTTCTATTAACGGAGGAAGCCTCTAGATCTGTCTCAGTTGCTAATGTATCACCTTTTCCTGCACCTGCCACAAAATACAACACTCTGCCAATAATTTCCTTTAAAATAAATTTCTTAATTGGGAACAATAACTAAAACAAACTATAGTGTCAATTCAATGTGTTCATATCATAAAGATTTTAACATATTTATATACGCATTTATGAATTTCAAAAAATAAAAAATTTACTCAATCTGAGTCTAAATAGTATATTACTTAGCAAAATCGGTTGTACTAAGAACTATATTCATCAACCACGTAGAACCTTCTTATAGAGTCTCAATTTCCCTCTTTCAGCTATGCTATCAGCAATCAAAGATTCAAAATGGCTTCCAACAAATGAATCGATAAATGAAACAGAAGAAGCACTACGAGAGACGCGAATCATTACAAGTTCGACGGAGGATAATTTTTCAATTTTTACTTACCGATTCGAGAACCCAATAAAGGTTCGGCATCATCGTTGTTGAGCCGAAAAGAGGACCCCGACCTCGGAACGGTGCCGGACATTTCCGTTACCGGCGGGTTCCGAAGCGTTCTCCGGTGGAATCGCAGATGATGAGCGACAATCGGCGCGAGGCGTATGTTTGAGGGGTAAAAAATGGGGAAATTGAAGGGTAAGAATGGCATTGACGACAAAATATATACGCAGGCCATTTTTATTTTATTATTAAATTAAGGAGCTAAACAATTCAATATTCAAACTATGTTATTGTTGTTCACAATCAGAGTCAGTCAGTCACCCACACCCTGTAGGCTGCAGCTATTGTGTTTGTTTTATTTTCTAATTAATTTGGTTTTCAATGAAAGAAGTGAACCTTTATGATAATATCATGTAAGAATGGGTGGTGGTGGATGGTGGTAGTTCGAGTTGGACTTTGAAATTTAATCAATCAATCAATCAGGTGTCTCTTATCTAGGGCCTTCTAGTGCTACATTCGAGTTAGTGGCATTCTACACTTCAGCTCAAAGGCCTTTTTAGAAAGGTGTTTTGGGCTACACACGAAGCGCACATGATGCTTGCCCCAACAACAACAAAATTGGAATATAAGTGAAAATAAATATAAAAATAAGGATAATATAAAAATATTATTTTTTATTATATTTGATAAAATGAGCACTCAATGCTGAGTGATACTGGAGCATCTGAAATATTTCCGTTACGCACATGCGAAACTGCCAACTGTTTCTAAACTTTGGTTTATATCCACAATTTGATGCCAACAATAATTGATAATGAGATTGGTTTGATATCATTGTCTAGGGCCAAATCAGGATTGGACGCAAAAGTTGTGAATAGTGGAAGCTAAAACAGAACAAGACAATGGACGTGGAATCAATTGAGGTAACTAGCCTGCGTGTGTGTGTGGTTGGACGATGTTTCTCTCATTCTATGACCATTGAGGGGATATTTTTGCTGATTAATGCCCAACCTACAGATTTATTCACGCTTGTCGCCCACTCAACCTTTTACTACGAGTGTAAATGGGTTGAGTTAGGCTGAACTTTGACCTTTTTGACTCAAGGTTACGTAAAAAAAAATTCAGCCTATCTGGCCTACTGGTCTATTAAAAACTTTATTTGTAGGCCAAACACGACCTATTTTTAAAAATAAGAAAGTTTGGCATGGCCTACAGACCTTGTAAGCCTCCCACTATAGATACTAAGCAAACAAAATAATTGTATAGAGTAAAGAAAGTTTCATTCATGCATGCACTAGTACTTCTCAAAAAAAGGTCTGACAAACAAGAAAGAGTCAACATAATACCCCAGCTCTAGAATGTATATTATAGAGGAATAGAGTCAAAAAAATGGGAAAAATAAGAAAAATACAATTATTGGATGCTGAAATAAAGTCTACAAAGGAATGTCATTTATCTAAAAATCTTTAAACCATCATCAAGACAAGGGAAAGAAAAGACGACGCCGAGAGTGAAAAGCGGCGGTGCACATAAAAATTAGGGTTGGTATTGGTATTTTGCCATATAAAATAAATATTATTATTTTATTTTATTTTATTAAATTAAATAGGTCAGCCTACAAACTTGGCCAAGCTTGACAAAATTGGCCTATGACCTATTTGTTAAAAAAGCTTTCTTATAAGCCTAAGTATACTCTACTTTCTCTGAAACGCCGAGCTAGGCCAGGCTCGACGTAGGCTAGTCTGGCCCATTTACACCCCTACTTTCAGCCAACAAACTATTAATCAAAAACAATAAGGGAATGTTTGGTATAGGAAAAAAAAAAGTACTAGAAACTATTCTTTACCTGTAAAATGGTTGGAAGTTTTTTTTACCGGTAAGTTAGGAAAAGATGTTTGATAGACCAAAATTTTTTCCGAGAATCTTGTGCTAATTTTTAGTGACTATGTTTGGTTGATGATAAAAAAATAGTGAGAATCTTATCCAAAATTAATAAAGTGCCCACAAATTTGAAAATTTGTTGAATTTATCCTGTCATCAAACGTTCATAATTTATTTCTGCAGAACAAAATCTCTTTCGCTCTCTGTCTCTCTCTCCCTCTCTCCACGTTCGTTTGCTTCTTTGCGTTCAATTTCTGTCACATCTCTTCGTGGATCTGGCATTAGGGTTGCCGGAGATCTCCTGAACACTGCCAATTTGTCCTTGTGCCAGACCTTTCCGTCCACCAGACACACCATCTGCACCTCCTGTATAGCGAAGCTATGGACACCCACCAACCCCAACCCCAACCCTCAACGCTTGTTGGTTTGCTGAGAACATAGGGTGGATGCTACAAGATGCATATCCAAACTTGATAAGGGTGTTTTTGTCTCATAAAATTTTATTTACTTTCCTCCCGTGTGGTCAAATTTTTATTCCATGTTATGAATGGCAAAACATCATAACGTTTTCATGTGAAAAATATTTGGACGGGAGACCTTTTTTTCGGTATTCAATTTAGATCTTTCCCCTACCAAATATCGCAAACTTATTTTCCATACTACTATTTCCAGGGCAAAATTTTTTTTGCTTCCTGCCAAACAACCCTAAAGGGGCGTTTGGTTCAGGAATTTTTTTTGGAATAGTAGGGAAATTAGATAGATAGAGAAATGATTGGAAAGATAGATAAAGTGAGATAGGTAGAAAAAATGTAAAAAAAAGTTGTTTGGTGGGAAAAAAATTTAGTGGAAAAAAATTAGGTAACTTTATGAAATCAACAGTGCATTAAAAGCCAGATAACCGGTTTTCCGAAAAATCTCACCTTCAAATTGGGTTTCTAAACAGTGTGGATATCTATGTTTCTCATAAATCCAGACAAATTGGATAGATGGGTTTTTGGTGAAAAACGTTGAAACAAACATGGTATTTTTAAAAGCCATAATTGAGAAAGATAGATATCCGCTGAAAAGCTCCCAACCAAACACCCCCTAAGAGTATTACTTAGGTACCTAGGGATATAAGTAACAATAACATTATAAACAGTGGCGGGCGGGCTCATTCAGCTAGGTGGGAAAAAATTTTACTAGGAAAAAATTAGGTAACTTTATGAAATCAACAGTGCATTAAAAGCCAGATAACCGGTTTTCCGAAAAATCTCACCTTCAAATTGGGTTTCTAAACAGTGTGGATATCTATGTTTCTTATAAATTCAGACAAATTGGATAGATGGATTTTTGGTGAAAAACGTTGAAACAAACATGGTATTTTTAAAAGCCATACTTGAGAAAGATAGATATCCGCTGAAAAGCTCCCAACCAAACACCCCTAAGAGTATTACTTAGCTACCTAGGGATATAAGTAACAATAACATTATAAACAGTGGCGGGCGGGCTCATTCAGCTAGAGTCAACAAAAATTTAGGTGAGATTTAATATTAAATTTTATCTAAAAACTTAATCACAATTATTTAACTATATTAAAACATAGCTAATTTTCAAAAACAAGTTGGAATCAAGGCTCTCCTCCATACACAGCATGGCTCCACCACCGATTATAAAAATGTACACAACAAAATGACAATCACATTTTCTTGGGAATATTTGAACTAACAAAATCTGAATATAAGTGTGTACAAAACAAAGCAATTAAAAGTGATTATTGGCTTGATATGACTTAAATGATTCAACTAACTGGACATAAATCAGTTTATAAATTATGTGTTGAATTAAGGAATCGAATTGATTTTTGTTCAACTTGAATTAATCTAACTTCAAAGTATTCTAGATCCACATAAGGGGTCTATTAGCTCTTGGAGACTATGACATTTATTCATTGTCTTGCATAATTCTTCTAAAATCTTGATCTTTCTTATTATCATTATACATACACACCACTTACATTAACTTAAGCCTTTTCATTATACATAATGGTCTATTTTCATAGACATGCCAGCTCACAAATCCCATATTAACTAGGATACTCTTAGATTGAATATAAATCCATTAATACAATTTTTTTAGAAATATTTTAATGTAAAATAAAATTATTATGATTATTTTTAATAAATTTCAATATAAACAGCATTTTTAGATTGATTAAAGTTGATAAAAAAAAATACCAAAATCAATCTAACTCAAACTAGCCCAACTATAATTAAATTGGATTGATTTGAGTTGATAAAAATATATTTCTCAACTAACTCAACTAACTAAATTTAATTGGTTAAATTTTAACATTTAAGCAAAATTTGCCCAAACTTTAAATACTTTTGGGAGATGTTTGGTAGGAGGATTATTTTTAGATATCTACAAAAGTGAGGGTGAGTTTCCTAAAATCTCATGTTTGGTAGCATATTTGAGAAACAAATTCCCAGGAAAATTATTTTTACTGAATTTCATTTTATGTGTATTTTCAAAACCAAAATACCACCAAAAAATATTATCCAGACGACGGACAATTAACCCATACGATGGTATTTCAGGAATCTCAGACGATGGAAAAATAGGAATTAATTTTTCAGAGAAAAATAACTAAACATAGTATCAAGAAAATTAACCCAATATTTTCAAAAATATTTTGGTCAACCAAATAACTTTTTGGTAACATTCTCGAAAAACTTATTTTTTCATCATATTATCATGATAAAAAAAATTTCTTTTCAACCAAACATCTCTTTAATGCTAAAAAAAAAATTAAGAGAGAGAGAGAGTAATGCTTAAATCTATCACTTTTAGTTGTCTTTCGTACTATCATCACAAGCAATAACTTACCACTCCCCTAGGAAATGATGCAGCTACAGAAAATTTATGTACAGAGAATTTTTTTTAATAAAATAAATAGTAATAAATAAAGTTTGTAAAACCTTTTATTATGCATCTAACAACAATAATTGAGAAACTAACAAGAATTTGCAACTACATTTTTATTCATTTAATATTTTTCAAAATAATAAGTTTTTTTTTTCTTTTTTAATGAAAGAAAAGAGGGGGCAGGAAGCCTAAAATTGGAGAGGGGTGATGCAACCGCCACATTAATTAATCTGAGACAATGACAATTTTGTTTTAAGTACGAATTTATTTATTTACACTATTTATTAATTACTTTAATTTCTTAAATCATCTTTAATTAAATGAAAATAAAGAATAAAAAAATTATCTTTAACAATAATTTGAGAAATTACAATAAAAAATTGTGAATTACAATAATTCCATCCTTAATATATATTCAAAAATCAACAAAGTTAATCTAGTGAAAGAAAAATAATAATAAATAGATAAATATTTAAAAACAAAATTAATAAAAAATCATCATTGAAATTGATTTTTTTTTAATACAAATTGAAATTGATTTTTATATTGAGTTTTTAGGACGACGGGAGAATGAATAATTAAACTCAAGCCTTTTTTTTACCAACGTTGTTTGGTCTTATCAGCTGAATCGACTCTTGTTATGAGCATTAATATAAATATTAAAGAGTAAAATTGAATGAGAGTATAAAATAATAATAATAGTTACGAATCGCTGTATGTATTCAACAAACAATTTTTATTTTTTTTATCATTTATCATAATGCACTCTCCTATCAAATTAATTTTTGTGTAGGTATTTTAAATCTTTTCACATAATCTCGTGTTACATGAAAAGATTTATTCTCGTATTATTAATATTTTTAAATTTATATTTATTTAATTGTATTTAATATCTTATATATAATTATTAACAAATTCAATTTCATAAAAAGAAAAATATGAACAGAAGACAACTGTTTTTTTACACGCCCGTTTGGATGGTATTTTGGAAAAATAGTTATATGTATTACTTATTTTAGAATGATTGTTTTAAAAGTTAAAATTATTTTATGTTTGGATGTAATACGTGAAAAACACTTTGAATTAAACATATTATTTAGATGTTAACATTATAAAAGCATTTTTTTTTTTTTGATAACATATAAAAGCATTTTTATGTATAAATTAAATTACTATACAAGATATGTGAAAATAAATCATGGGAACGAGATTTGGTAGTGGCAGAGGCAATGGAGATGGCCATAGTATGGTGGTGGTTGCAATAATAGAGAGGTGGAGTGATGTTGATGGCAGCGATAATGGCATGGCAACAAAAACTAGGTAGTGATGGTGGCAACAACAACAGTAGCAATGATGGTGGTAACGGCGATAGAGATGAGACTGATTAGGTTAAGGTTAGGACAAATCTAAATTTCGAAAAAAAAAAGTTAACTTTTAATGTTTTTTTTTTAAGTGAAAAATTAAGTTGAGAAAAAAAAATTAAGTTTTTGACTTTTTTTTAAATTTTTACTTTTTAAAAAAACAGACATGTAAATATTCATAGGGAAAAGATCCGTTTACAAATTTTTTTTACAAATTACACTAAGTATGTCAGTCATACACTCTTGATTGAAGTGTGACCGGACATATTTAGTGTAGTTTGTAAATAAAAAATTTGTAAATCATATCCATATATAGGGAGAAGAATTTTTTTAAAAAAAAATTGGAAGAAAAAATATTCATCCAAACAAATGTACATTAAAGATTAACTCAAAATGAAAACATTTTCAGACCTAGACTTTAACAAAATTGTTACCCATACTTCATAAAATTAGACTTCATCTCTCAGCTTATTATTATTATTATTATTATAACTTAATAATCAATTAACAAGTTTGTCATGATTTGAGTCAGGTCCCTGCGGATCACATGCGAAAACTGATGTTACTTTTATAATTTCTTTTTCACATATACCAATTCCAAAAAAAAAAAAAAAACAATTTGTATTGGATGGTATAAAAAATATATATATAATTTTTTATTTGTCTTTAGCATGGTAGTTAAAATCGGAATTTTACCTAAAATCGAAAGGAAGATAAAAAATCGTACAACGTAAAATTCTAACGTAAAAAAATCGTAAAAACGTAAAAGCATTTAAAATTTTGATGTAATCATTTTGATTAAAAAAATTTGTAAAATCATAAAATCACATATTTAAATCGAGATTTTAACTATCATCGTCTTTAGTCTTACCTTTCTCTCCTCACAGGACAAAAAAATATTGAAATCTTTCTATTTTTCCTTCAATCAATAAAATTGAATTACCACGTAATAAAATCCACAAGGAAGGAGGTGCGATCATATCAGCACTAATGCACCGGATTCCATTAGAACTCCGCAGTTAAGTGTGTTTGGACAAGAGTAGTACTAGGATGGGTGACCTCTTGGAAAATTCTCGTGTTGCACTTCCTAGAAAAGTATACCAAAAAAAAAAAATCCACAAGGAAGGTCATTCAAATTTTTTCCAAAAACAAAAGTACTTTTAAAAAAATCATAAGCAAAATCTCATAGGTACGAGTACATGTAGGGGTATAAATGGGTTAAGTTGGTCTACAGGACTCTATGGCTTAGTCTATATTAGGTCAAACTTGATTTATTATAAATAGTAAAATAAAACAGACTTAGACTTTTAAAAAAACCTATTTAGAAAACAGTCTATAAGCTTTTTTTATACATGTCGGGTCTATAAGCCTACAGGCCGGCCTATATCATATTATTTATTTTAAATCAAACAAATAAAATTATTATTTTAATAATTTTGAATAATAAAGTAATATTATTTTAATTATTCTTTTAATTGTTGAATGTTTAATAGGTTAACAGGCTTAGGCCAAGATTTTTATTTTTTAAATACAAGTAATGACAGACTTATAATTTTAAGGCCTACACAAACTAACAGGTCAGGTCATTCCCAATATTTTTTACACAGGCCTAGCCATTCCCAATATTTTTTACACAAATCTAGTCTATTTAAGTCAAAACTTAACCCAGCCTAGCCTATTTACACCCTTAGGTACATGTTTGATAAATATTAATTACTCAGCATAACAACTTTTTTTTTTTGTTGGTAAAAAGCATAACAACTTTTTATTAAATAAAAAGCTATTTGTTCGAAAAGTAATATGTTTAAAATTAAAAGCTATTGATTAAAAAAAAAATTCAAACAATTTTTTATCTTCTAAATGTTATAATATTCTTTTATTTTTTATTTTTTATTATTTCACAACCTTTTTTTACCCTTCTTTATAAATCATTTTGTAGTTATTTTATTAATTTATTGCATAAATATAATGTGTAAAAATTTAAAGAAAAAAATTATATTAAAATCACTTTTCAATTGTAATACATCAATAAAACTAATTCAATCGTGATTAATTTTAAAATGAATTCATTATACTTTTACCAAAAAAAAAAAATGAATTCATCATACGATAATTGATTATTAAATTAAAAGAAAAAAGTTTGTGTTGTGTGTACTGGAAGCAGAAATATTTGTATGGCTTGCCGAATCATGCTTAAAATAAATTGCAAGTTTCTAAATATAAGAAATATAAAAAACGATAAAGATGTTTTTTTTTTTTTTTGGTGAACATAAAGATGTGTTTTACTTTACCTCCAAAAATAAAATTCAACTAAATAAGGGCAACCACTAACCACATTAGCACAAATTGGTCCACTTATTCTAATTCTCCCTTTAGAAATGTCACAGAATCATTCCCCTGAACAAGTCAGAAAGCTGTTCCCTTGTAGAACTAACAACATGTGCATCAGTCCCTCAAAACGATACACAATTGTACAGATTATCTTAAAAAAACCGCTCTGCACAATGGCTCTCCCCTATAAGCATGAACTGTAAATAACTAAATATGCTAAAAGGACAAACAATCAAACAATATGAAAAGAAAAGAATCAGCTTGAGATGATGTCATTGGTCCTATGTGGGTGATTATAGTATCATTACTGTGGAATATTTTATAAACAATAAACAAAGATAATGTAAGCTCAAGTAATACAACATTATCATTACTATGAGTTGAAACACAAAAACTGTGGATATCCCAACAACAATCCCCTAATCCATTATTTCAACAAAAATAACCTCTACAGTATCTCATCCTTTCAATTCCTCTCTATCTTCTGCGCAGTTATCCCAGAGAGGGTGAGAAGCAGAAAGAGCAAAACCAGGTACAGTGATCCAGGATTTCCAAGGACTGTTTTGTGTCCTAGAAATTAACCTATGTAACTCAAAATGAAGAGGGTGTTATTCTAAGCCCTTTGAAGCAAAGATGGGAATGGTTTTGGATTGGTGAGGGGCAAAAGGAATGGAACTAAGTCCCATAAACATCATCGGCTTCCAATTTGCTTACCCCCTCCTCCAACAGCATCCCCTCATAACGGCATTCATGGCTGCAAAATGCCCTCTCACCCCTGCAATACAACATCATGCAACTAGATTTAAGATCTGTTGGATTTATTACCATTCTTTTCAGGGATGATTCTAATCATACACAAATTAGCAAAGCATACTTTCACTTTGATTCATAACCAGTTTTTTTTTTTTTTTTTAATCCAAACTAGAAGAATTTGTAGTCATCATTAAATACCATTGAAGAAACATATTTTATAACAAAATAACAACCATCTTCTGAGTTGACTAAAATAGTAAATGAATAGAGTTTAATTAGCTTGCAATACTTAATTCACAAATTCCCAATTTTTGTTGTTTTGAGAGAAGGGGTGAGAATGGTTATTGACCAATGAGAGATAGGACTAAAACCCAAAGATCCAAAGAAGACAAAATGATACTGAATTACTTAGAAAAAAATAGCCAGATAAGATTAGCCTTATTCATTATGATATCAAATTTATTTTCCTGCTGAAACATATTAAAACTGTACCCTTTGATGCTCACAGATTAAATTAAGTTTGCACCACGTAAATGAGCCAAATTTTCTGTTAATTCAAGTCTCAAATTCCACATGCCAACCAAATTTGCATTTAAAAAAAAATTGAAAACGTGACAAATATCATATCAACACCAAAGAATTTATCATCCATGGGGATAAAAATATTAAGCAATTACCTGTACATGTAGATGTCTTTACCCTGCCCAAGATTCTTTTTGCAGTAAAAACATATGCTCAGAAAGCTCTCAGAGGGATAGGTGGTGTGATCAGGAAAGCAACCATTTTCCTTGGCAAAAGCAGAGTACCCAAAATCAAAGGAGCTACTCTCTATGATGCAGTTATCAAATATATGAGTAGTTCTTGGATTGGGCCCGTGGCAAATCACGCGAGTGTAGTCTTCAGAGAGCTCCATTTCGCTTGCAGAGAGACACCCTGCGAAAACTCGATGAGAATTGGAGGTTTCAAGGGCAGGATTGGCACACCCAGATGCAGATTTATCCACAGGAGATGGAGAAAAGCTTCCAGAGGAAGAACCCAATTGAGAAGTTCTTATCTTGATGCCAAAATCAGCTCTGGATTTGGGTGATTCGGATGGAGAAAGGTTTGCTGGTGGCAAGAGAGGAATCTGAATCTTAAGCTGGGAACCAAACAGAACCATTCGGCTCTCTGGTTTTGATGTTACTTCACCATGTTTTTCATCAACAAGAGCATCAACTAGGCCAAGACCAACGCCTTTTGAATCCAATTTATCCCAGTAACGCTTGTGTTCAACCCCTGGGGTTCTGGGGCTGTTTGTTTCAGACCAGAAGGGGTTCTTGAAGCCACTCGGCTTGCTGTCTAGTATGGAGGTAGGGCTCATCATAGTTTCAGTTTCATGGAAACCTTTTGATGTGAAATTGGTGAACAATCTTGGAGAACCGAAGAAAGATGAAGCCGATTTCTTGTACTTTTCTGCGGGAGATGTTGAGGAACTAGAATCTGCCATTAGAGCTTGTCACTAGCTGTTGCTCTAGATCTCTTCCTCAGCATAGCTTGCTTTGTTTGATGCTTCCCACTGTGGAACCAAGACACACAGAATATCCCAGAAATTTAGAACCTTGTTAAGTTGTAGTGCTTATTTTTACATGCTTGTTTGTGTGTGTGTGTGTTTGAGACAAAGAGATTATAGGAATCACCTGAAAGGACAAGGTTGTCACAGAGACACTGCAATGAATTTAAGGAGACAATATCAAAACTATCTTGAAGCTTCACTGCAGAAGTATTACAGGCTATGAAATTTTGAAGGCTTGAAGCTGTGATACAATTTTTGGAAGTAAAGGGAAAAACTGCAATCAAATCCACCATTCTAAGGAAAGACAGAAACCAGGAATTACGAAACAAGTTCCCATGAATTGAAACTTCTCTCTCTCTATCTCTCTCCCTGATCTTAAACCTCTGTGACTTCCATTCCTAAACCACTGAGAGAAATTGGGAAAACAAATATAGAAAAAAGAAGGGAAAAAAAAAAAGAAGGGTGGCCTTTTCCCCGGCTATCTCGCCCTTCCTTCTCCTGTTTCTCAGAATAGAATCACGATGGGGCTCAAAAACGACATGCAGAGACTCTCACTGGTCATGATCAAAGGACCAGACGTGCATGCATCAGACAGCAGAACAAAGAAGAGTTTGTATTTTTGTTCCTTCTTTTGGCTACCTTTATTTCTCCCTTTCAATCCTTTACATTTGTGTCTTGGACTTCTATTTAAGCATAAATTATTAATGTGTAACAAATAAAAAGCCAAAGACCAACAAGAGTAAAACCAAAAAACTGGTCCCTATAATCCCACTTCAGCACCAAAAACATAAAAAAAAAAAAAATTTAAAAAACAAATTGAAATAAAATTAAATTAAAAGAAACGGTGATGATAATTCATAAAGTCCCTCTCTTTTTCTATCTTCTCCCTTTTATGACTAGTGGGGTTATCTTTTTTCACTGTACTCTTTCTTGCTCTTTATTTGCCCACTAATTCAGCCTTCCATCATGAGCCCCTGAAAAATTGGCATGAAGTTGAAGAGAGGAGGACAGAGAAAGGGAGAAGAAGCAAAGGACACAAACAACATAAGAGAGAAAGCGGTTTGTCGTGGGAATAACCGGTTGGTGGATTCTTATAAAGATCTGTGTGCTTTAGAATCGGTAGTTTTTTTTTTTTTAAAATCAAATTATTTTGTGTTAGTTGAGGAGAAATCAGTGGTTTTAATGTACTAAAGGATTGTAATTCGGTTGATGGAAATTGAGCAACTGAGCGTCAGAAAATATGTGATTCATGCTTTTAAATATTATTTTTGATAAAGAGTTTAAATTCTTAAGCATATCGGATTAATCATAAAACGATGAATTGATAGAAATATAAAAAAATAAGAGAAAAAAGTGTGTCATTTTAAATGACACACTTTATATCCTTTCGTTCTTACACAAAGATGTAGGATTCACCCATTCTCTCACCCACGATTTATTTTTTTCTCTAACTTAAAATGACACAATTTTATATTCTTCAAAATGATACATATTTTTTCCAAAAAAAATTAAAAATAAAACCACACTATGGTCTAAGTAATAGCAGTTTATGGTAGTCAAGTGCTATATTATATTAGTGTCTCTTTCTGGCTTGTTTGTGTCACAAAACAAAGGTAAGATGGCGTTATGTGAGTGGAATTTCCGATCGGCTATCGTTGTCTCTCACTCTCAACTCACTCAGCAACAATGGATGTTAGGGGAGTATATAATTAGGGGGAGAAATTATTCTCTACAGTTATTTTAGTTAAAATGATTACTTTTTATTTAATATTTAAATTAAAATAAATTATTACTTTCTTTTATCATAATTTATATTATATAATTCTTTTGCTTACTATAAAATATTATAATTTTAATTAAAATAACATAATTATACATCTTTTAAAACAACAAACATTACTCGCATAATTATAATAGCAGGCTCACATCATAAATAGAGGCACTCACGAGACTTTAAATTAGAAGATGCCCCTGTCACATCTTTATTTAATACAAACAGTTTATAAACAAATGATACGTATATCAGGGTAAAAATTTTCTTATAAAAAAAAGGAGATTTACTATTGACAAAAAATTTAAATTTTTTTTTTATAGAAACTTGCAACTGAGTTATATTAATAAAAATATTCTACTTATTTCATCAATATATTATGGTTATTCAGACAAGATATTTGAATTTTATTTTTTTGAATATTTATGATATTTTATTTACACCTAAAACAATATAAATGATTACATAGTGCGATATTTTCATATATATTATATTATTTTATGAGCTTGGTGTTTGTCATTTTAAATGACATAAATTATGTCATTTTAGAAGAGAGATAGACACAAAAAATAAAAATAATAGGAGAGATAAAGTGAGTGGTTTTTTTAATTTAAAATTTAAATAAAAAAATTTATTTTGTGTCTATCTCTCTGTTAAAATGACATAACTTTATGTCATTTAAAATGACAAATATTTTTCTCTTATTTTATTGCATGTATATATATAGTAATTAATTTTAGATTATAATTTTTTATTAAAAAATAAATTTACATTTAATTTTGTTATATCAAAAGTATAAAAAAATTATACTATCGACGAATTATTTTTTTTTAACAAAGTTAAAAATTTAATGCTAATGTTTTTTTTTATATTACGAGATATTCACATACTCTTTATACATTTGAGGTCCTAATGAAATTGTTCCGTTAAGTTTTTAATATTGTAGAAGCCTCGACACATACTTTTCACTTTTGCTTAAATATTATATTAGTAGACAATATTCGTAATTAAATTCACTCAATTAATTATGTTGTTACCAAAAAATATTGTAAAAAAAATAAACCATTTAATCTTTATATAAATAAAAATGAAATAACCTCTGTCAATATTTATGCAGAAGGACTTGCATGTTGCATCTGTCCGGAAATGCGATTTTTTTTCTTAATTCAGTATTGTTATTATTAAGTACATTCTTTTTATTTAATTCCTTTGGTTTTTCCTTCTTCTTCTTTTTTAGTAATCCTTTGATTTTTCCTTTACTAATAAGTATTTTATGCATAATATGATTATTTTAAATTTTGTCAAAATTACAAATAAATTAAAAAGTTATTTAAAAAATAAACTAAATATATATTTAACTCAGTAAAAAGTAAAAGAAATTAAAATAAAATTATTTTAATCAATAAAAAATGAATAATTTATTTTAAAAAAATTGATTTAAATTTATAAAATAAAAAAAACATATATATTTTTAATAAAAAAATAGGTTAGAAAAATAAATCGCTCTCAAATCTTAAAATAGTATTCCAATTTAATATATTAGGGACTTAGGGTGGATTATTACATCTTACTCTCACTCTAAGTTGTCACTATAAATTAAAGCCGCATTTCTATGATGGGGATTAGTATTCATATAACTATATAAGATAGGAAGAGTTTCGAAACGAGTTTGATTCATAGTTGCAGAAGAATAAAGCTAATGAAAGGAGGACTTTATTTGCGATGATATAAGGTATTAAATGCAAACAGGATAATTGGATTTTATCATTTTGATTCAGAGCGAAGTATAGTACGTAAAGAATTGTACAGCACACCACACAATTATACTCACATTTTTAGATATGATAATTTAAAAATTTTAAAAGTAAATAAATTTTTATTGAAATTTAGATTTAAAATTATATAAAAATGGATTGTATGAGTTAAACAATGACACTTACAAATAAGAATGCATTTAAATCATCACAAATTTATAAATAAATATTTAAAGGAAACTCAAAATAAATAAATAAATAAATCTCATACGACCTTTGTTAAAATTTGAAGGACCACTAGGCTATGTCTGAATTTAGAAAGAAAGAAATTAAAGAAAATAAATCGAGAGTGTTGTAATTTTTATATAAAAAAGATAGATTAAATGATAACGTTTTATTTTCTACCTTTTATTTCAAAAAGTTAAAAAAAAATACTCATTTAAAATAATAATCATGTCATGAAGAAATAGAGGTACCAAGATTCCACAAAAAATAAAAAACAAAAAAACAAAAAAAATCAAGAACTCAAGAAGTGAAATTTGAAAGGGTCATTTGCGCGGGGCCCTTTTTATTTTTTTTATTGTTTTTGGTAACAGGGGCCTGGGGGCCTTTTTTTAATTAAAAAAATGACTACAGAAACGGCAGTGGGAAGTTCACGGACCCGTCTGTAGAACTGTCAACTGTGCCATCACATATCACTAAAATCCTTTACCATTGGCTTACGTCAACCTAATAATAACCGGTCCCACTTCATTTCATTTCTTCTTTTATATAAAAATATTAATTTTTAATTTTTTAAAACCCACGTCACTTACCTCGAACCCACATCACATGTCATTTACAATTAGTAACGTAACGTAAAACTCTAACTGAAAATGACAACAATTTTTTTAATTTAATACCTTAAAGTTTTTAAAATATTTATTGATTATTAATTTTAATAATAAATTTTAAATTTAATAAGAACAGTTAATACTTAATAAAATTTAACAATTAATCAAGATACTTACAATTTGTTTGGTGTGATGTATAAGGTCTGATAATATAAGTTTATATCATATGTTATGAACTTATAATATTTTTAGTTATTTGGTATGACAATCGTATAGTATAACTCGGTATAATTTTATACAATATAATTCCTTAATACATTAAAATGATATGTAACTTAATCGGGCTTAAGGAGTGAGATTAGACTAGATAAAGAGTTGATGTATTACTATTGCTAATCAATGAAATTTTCAAGAATTAATATATTATTTTAATATTAATATATTAAAATAAAAAATAATTTTTAAAATATTGAAAAATTTACTATAAAAAATAATATTTTTTGGACACAATAATCAATAAGTTTTTATAAAAATTAATATCATATGACATATTTGAAAAATATATATAAATTCTTTATTAAATGATATTTTACCAAAAATATTTATTTTTATCCTATCTA